ACCCAAAAGCGTACTCGAGTCGCTCTCAGAGCGAATATGACGACCCAAATGTGTACTCACGTCGCTCAAGAGCGACCCCGAGCGACCCGATGACAAACCGAGGGCAGTCCTCCACGCGGGCAGTGACGAACCCTGACGACCCATTGGCGTCCCTTGCGCGACCCTCCGCGCACCGATAGCAAACTAAAAGCAACCTTAAAGTGAACAATTATTTTGGCTCGGGCTAGATAGGGAGGGACAATTTTTGTAACTAGGTTAGATGTTTCTTTAACCACATCTTCAACAGATACAAATTTTTATGTACAGAGGTACAAAGTGTAACTAGGCTAGGTACAAATGCTGTATTTTGTATTTAACGTAGTTCATCTGGGTTTAGATATCCTCAAAGACACATCTAGCCTACACTGTAAATCTGGGGTGTCCAACAACTGTTCGACAAAAGGTGCCCGACGCTAAAACCTGTGCAACTTTAGCCGCACAGCTGCTGGACACCTTTTGGTTTAACACCATTTTCCCTGCAAAAGGGTCTATGCCAAGCCTAGGTAGGGTGTCTTGTTGTTGGACACCTCCTGGTTCGGCCCATCTACAGGGAAAGGGCGCCAAACTACAAGGCGTCCAGCAGCTGTGCGACTTAAGTTGCACAGGTTTTAGCGTCGGGTACCTTTTGTCGCACAGTTGTTGGACACCCCGGATTTACAGTCTAGGGACAAAATTGTCCCTCACTATTTATAAATAGTGTGCGATCGACGTGCGTCATCTCGCAGTTTCAGTAGAAGCAATGTGGTGTGCAGGTAACATACAATAACGGAAGAGATTATTGTGTTAAGTTCACACTTCTATATTTGTACTATGGCAAGTTCTCCCCCTCCATGTGTGGTAGGTCGTTCCATTCTGGAGGGCCAGGTGTTCGATCATTCCGGAACACAATTAAAATGAAAATATAGTCAATCCTAAGGATGATAGTTGGTGTCCGGGGTTTTTGCGACCCCCGGTACCATACGCACCTTGCGGTCAAAGTTTGACGTCACTTTCGGCGGGTACTGGATTCCATCATTTAGGCCCCGCTGTAGCGTATGGCAGCCACCTACGACCGCGGTCGGTTGAGTGGTGACTATCTAGGGTTTGTACTTCTCATCGGCCATGGAGCCGACCGAGCGCCCAACCCCCTTCAGAAGGTAGGGCGTAAGTACTCGGAATTTAGGTACCTCGATCTATTACGAGTACCGGTCAATATTTAGCATTTGCGCCGGAATGTAGCTTGGACCCATAGCCATCGAATCGCGCTTCGACCGTCCATACCATTTTATTGTGTCCCTTTATTGCGACCAAAAATATTAAACGTACTCGTGTTAGAGTGAAGTACCTGGATTCCGAGTTCTTACGCCCTACGTCCTGAAGGGAGTGGGGGGCGCGGTCGCGACCACGGTCGATGAGAGGTACATACCCTAGGTAGTCTCCGCTGAAACGGGCGCGGTCGTAGGTGGCGGCGTCTCGCCGCAGAGCGGCTTAAAACATGACACCAGCGGTACCCGCCGAAAGCAATGGGAATCTTTGAAGCCCGAGCCGCGTCAGGTTCCTGCGGGTCGTAAAACCCTCGGACAACGACTATTATCCTTAGAATTGACTTTATTTTCATTTAAAATGCGTTCCAGAATTCCTTTTTTTTTTTTTTGGGGGGGGGGGGGGGAAACAGCCTAGTGTGTGTACTAAAAAACAGTATTCGGTTTGCAGCGTAGCCCATTGTTATGTACGTCACAGCCATAGCCAACAAATGTAACTTAAGTTACCTGCAGTCGCGTTGTCGACTATACGGAGATCGTAGTTGCCGTCCAAGCCTGTTCTGTACTTGTTCCGGGAGCCGTTGTCCCACAGCACGCTGACCGTGCTGCCCATACACTTTTCCACTGTGCCCAGGAACCCAGCTCCACCGTCCTGATCGCCCCATTTCCAATCAGGACCACGAACCACCCGGAGGCCACGAACAGATGTGTCTCCGAGGAGGACTGCGAAAACACAGTAAGTTTGGCCATAAGTGAGAGTCAGTTGCCGGATTTTTCTGGTCGGTGTTTCTTCTAGCAGTATTTTCGATGCTGATCACGATAATGGCGGTACCGCAGTCCCCGATCGGTCTGCGATGGCGGGAACCCAGCGTCCACTGGACCAAGGTAGTACAGTAGGTAGTGTCACTAGCCATGCCGAGCTCCTATTGGCCAGCCGTCTGTGACGTCATCGTTTGTCTTGACGCGCACCGTTTTAAATTAGACTGAAGCAGCAGGGCTGTCAGATAATGATGAGGTACAGACATGCAAAACTAATGTCTGAAAATACTATGAAGCAAACTCATAAACATACAAGAATTAACAGCACAAGCAACAAGTAGTGAGTGGGGCGAAACATTATCGGTAGTCGTATGATTTCGGTTGGCTCTGATTAGATGTGCACTGGTTCTCCACATTCTCTGTGAAACTTAGCGATCGTGGCGTGTCGTATGACTAAAAGTAATAGAAATGTCAGCATAACCTCAGGTGAGGAAACTTACACAAATCTATGTTTATTTTGATTGCTTCCTTGAGTGTCCATCTTTTTTTATTTCAAGTGGCTTATCTTTTGTTAATAGATTAATTTCTATACTTATTGTCATGGCATTGATTATTTTAGTGTGCTGGTGCTGCAGCTGCATATCTGACTTTTATTTACTTTTTTTCCTAGTCCCAGTATTTTACTTCAAACTGCTCGCAGCTGCTGCAAACAAAAGTCCATTTCAGCTGACGACATGAAAATGCTCAACCCTGAGGCATATGGCTCATGACACTGCTGTAAAAGTGAGTGTGTTGCATATAGTAAACAGTTCACTAGTAATGCTTATCTGCAAAATATTCAACCACTGCAATGAAGCTGATGTTGGATTATTTAGGTAAGAACATGATCGGACATAACTTATTGTGGGAATGAATTCCTCGACAAGCCCTAGAAATATAAGTTTGTTATACACATTACATTCTAGGTAAGGCATCTATGATTCTACAGTAAAGAGCACAGTGAAAATTAATTCTAAATTCACATTTAAATTTTCAGTGGTATTAGTGAAATCAAAGTCAGGGAACAAAATTAGATGATCGTAAGTTTCTGTAGGCTCAGCCATAGTTGATATATATGAAATCATGAAAAAACAGAAGGCATTTTTACTCTTATAAAATTTGGAAAGTAATAATAATAATAGTGTAAACGAGATCACATCATCAGATTTGTTTTTATAAAAAAAAATTGTTTCCTTGTATTTGGCTTGCAACTCAACCTAATTAGATGAACATGATTGTTAGATTTGAAACTTGATTATAATCACAGTAAATTAATTTCTCCTTCATTATTTAAGTTCTATATCACACACAATTTTTCAGTATAAATACTACCTACCTAACTTATTATACTTTTTGGCCTTTTTTCTTTGTGCTGGGTCATCACTAGTAATAGGTTTTTTCCTTTTACGGCATGCAGCTTCTGTCCTATCAGCTACTTTTCTTCTCTTCTTCTCTTCTTTGGCAGCCGAGAGTAAGTATTATTTTTTTTAAGTTTTTGTCTTCTTTTCTTTTTCTCTTCCTCCTTTGCAGCTTTCTCTTCAGCCCTCTTCTTCTGATTATCTTCTTTCTTTTTCTGTTTCTCTGCTGCCTTGGCTGCCTTCTGTTCAGCCTTTTTCAGCTTTTCCTCTTCCTGTAATTTCTTTTTTTCTTCCTCTCTTGTAATTTTCTCCTCTTCCCTCGTCTTCTTTTCTATTTATTTCAGTCTTTTTTCTTCTTCCTTTTCTATTTCTTCCAGTCTTTTTTCTTCTTCCTTTTCTATTTCTTTCTGTCTTTTTTCTTCTTCCTTTGCTATTCATTCTTGTTCTTCCGTATAACTAGCATAGGCATTCAAATATTTTACTCTAATTCTGGTCCTTTGTAAAACATCTGATTAATTTTTCAGGCACACCTGAAACTTGCTGGAGTACAAGATTAACGCAACTTTTGACAACATTGGGGCCTTTAAATATGGACTGGTGTCCATTGAATGTCTGGAATTGTTTTTCGATGGAGTGGGCTTGTTGCAGCCACTCAGGGGTTGGCTCCATTAGTCTTCAAAAGATAGTTGCTGCACCCAAGAAGGAAGCTGGCTAATACTTTATTTACCCTCTCTTGTAGGATGCCCAAAGTATGAGTACTCCTTCTTGAACTTGTAGGCTACCCAACCTGCCAAAAACTCTATACCATCTAATTTCATTTCTTCTTGCAGATCAGAATAATTTGGTGGTGGTGGCATATCATTATTATTATTATCTTCAACAGCACAGTCAACTTCGAAATCAACATATTTCTCAAGACAGTCGTTTCCTTCTGAAGGTTCATCTGGCTCTGGTGGCTCATCTATAAGAGCTTCTTCTAAAATAGTAAGAGCTGAGGCAGTTAGGAACTGATGACCATCTGATTTACTTTGCTCCAGAGCGTTTCCTTTTTTATTTGCTTGAACTGCAGCAGAATTCTTCCCTGAAATGATCATCCTCACCCTCCACAGAGCTTCCAAATGGGGGTGAATTATCATGAAGGCTCCCTCTAGTTTGGATTTGGCAAAAAAGAAATTCAAGTAAATCTTGATTTAGTTTGTGGGCAAGAATAATTTTTTTCCCAAAACTAAGCTCCAATTCAATACGAAGCATTTGTAAAGATTTGATAGAAATCATTATTGCCTTTTGAAACACTTGTAAGAATGTTTTCTCTCCACAGCACATAGTAGAAATTAAACAGTACATGTCATCAAGACATTTTTCCTGTTTAACTAGATGTGTTCCATAAGCTGATTTTAGAGGTGTTGAATACAAAATGTAGCCATAAAACACATCAAACCAGCCACTTATAGTTCCAATCACTTTTGAAAGACGGAGAGCTACTTCAGGATCATTACCTGGTAAGTACCGTTGGAGGGCCACCTCAGTGCTGTGTGAAATTAATTCAGCCGCCAAGGGAATGACTGAGGTGATGTTTTTTCACACTTGATGTGAGCTTCGGTAAGTTTATAGCACGAGGTTACCTCCAATGGACATTGAGAGGATGCCACCAATGCAATCAAAGCTTCCAATGCTTCCATCATTTAAAACAAAACCAGTGTCCAGTAACCAATTTCTTGTTAATTTAAGGCAATGTGGAGCATCGGCAAAGAAAAATACTTTGACATTGGGGTCTACGGGATGTGGTATCCATGTTTCCTCATGTGAAATACCTAGGTCTCTACACTGTAAATCCGGGGTGTCCAGCAAGTAGGCGACAAAGTCGCCTGACCCGCAAAACTAGGCGACTTATGTCGCCTATCTGCGAGACACCTTCTGGTCTTCCAGGGAATTGCATGGGCACAATGGGTGGAATGCCTATGGACTCATACAATGCAATTGCCCGGAAGATTAGGAAGTGTGCAGCAGATAGGCGACATAAGTCGCCTAGTTTTGCGGGTCAGGCGACTTTGTCGCCAACCTGCTGGACACCCCGGATTTACAGTGTAGGTAGACCTTGGTTACCACCCCCCATGTCAGAGGAAGCAGCATGAACAACATAACCATCCTCATCCATTTTTTATAATTATATCCATTAAAATTTCGGGTGTCACTTCTGATCAACATCTACGTAAATAGGAACTTTCCACCTTCCAAACACTCCTCACACCATGGCTACTTGCATCTGAGTGTGAGGACCAACAATTTTATCATGTTTTTGATCAAACTCAAACTGTTTCCTTGTTTTCATTTCATCAAAGGTGATGACAGCAACCCTTTCGGCCTCTTCAAATGAGGGAGCGGTACATTTCATAACATTTAGCACACAGTTGAGGTTCCCACATTGAATATCTAATTTCGATGCCCACCTGCGTAACTTTGATAGAGAAGGTAAAGGAATAAGCATAACTTTTGTGACAAATTTATACGCCCTTTCCCCCTTGTATCTCAAAGTAAAAGCAGTTTGTAGTTCTTCATTAGACCAATGCACATATTTTTTATGACCGCAGATTATTTCAATTTGATTTTTTGTTAAAATGCCATGCAATGCTTATTTTAATTATTTTAATTTTTTCTGTTTCACTAATATTCGTGGGACAATTTTTGTACATTTCAAATGCAGCTTTTATGTACAGCTTGTCAGAAGAGAGCCTTTTAATGCTTTCATTGGCATCTTCAAGTAGTTTCTTCATCGTTTTCTTCCGATTTTCTAAGTCTTGAATTGTTTCTGCGCTTCTCTTCCGTGGGTCTGCAAATTCAGATGCCAAGCGCTCTATCTCCTGTTCTGGACTACTTGTGACACTGGGAATTTCTTTCTCAAGTACAGTAGGATCAATGGAAGATTCATTTGGTAAATTGCAGTGCTGCTCAGGAAAGGTGAAAGGTAATTTGTTCATTTCTGTCACTGTCCAATTTCCTAACTCAAGGGAGGGTACTGCAGTTTCTTTAAAAAAATCTTTCAGGGAGATTTAAAAGCTCATGTCTTAAATCTATTTTATAACCATTTGAGTCATATTGGTTTGAGCACAGAATGAGAGATTTTGGTGGTACAGTGGACTCTCGATAACTGTCGCCGCGAGGGTTATCGAGGGTACTGTGCGTTCGCTGCTGCCGTGCTCCGCTCGCCCCACTCCTCCAGCAGGCGACTCGGGCGAGCCGCCGGAGCCGGCAGTCAGTCCGCGTGGAACGCGCTATTTTTCTATAGCTATCCCTCTCGCACGCGACAGTTATCGAGGCGACAGTTATCGAGAGTCCACTGTATCCACATTGATGGCTGGCCACATTTTTCTGCCCATATCAATCTAACTGCTGGCCCAGCAGTGTGGAAAACAACCCCATCTGGCTTGTTGTTTGATTTGTTTCTACAGCTACTGACTGCACAAGTTCAGCCCGTCATTTCCTAAACAAATACTGAAATAAATGTAAGGTACTGTACATAATACAACTTTCTACTTTCATTCCAATCCTTCACCTTTAAGAACACAATCAGAGCTCAATACCCAGCACTTTGTCTCATCCAACATCGCATTTAAACCATTTTATTCACTGTGTGGTATGTGTGCAGTGCACAATTACACCCTACATCAAAAGTATCACTTTCTATTTAGAGTGAAAGATTAGATTAAACGTCTTAAATCAAGTGAAATTGCAACTGTAGTCCATTCGTCTAATGTCCTACTAATGTCATCACGCTAAAAAGTCGTTACAATTGTTTTCAAACACTATCGAGTTTGCATACTAACTCTGAAAGCAACTCGCGATAACAATCTTATGGTTGACGTTGACGTATTTGCGATTCATTTTCACAATTTTCGAACTCACCTAGATTTTATGTGCAGAACTAGTGAAAATCATACTATAACCGTTATTTTTTGGCCTACGGAGTCCGGCCCAGCTTGCATCGGTGCGCGGCGGGACAAACAGTGACGTCATAGACGGCCGGCCAATAGGAGCAAGGGATGGCTAGTGACACTACCTACTGACTACCTTGCCACTGGACCACGTGACATGCTGTGCTCTAAGTAAAATACTTAATTTCTTCAGAAGTCATATGGACCCCGAAAATCGGGTTTAGAAGTTATATCTTCACAATCGCCTACGTGACATTCAAATTAATTCAATTTTGGCGCGCGCGGTTGGCACCCTCCTAAGAAGTTGTCCCATCGGTGACCCTCTGATACTCAAACATATTTTCATGACCAAAGGAGCTATTTTCCCCCTGTATGTCCGCGCGCCGCTGGCAGGCAGACAAAAAATCTGGGCCCAAGTGCGCGGCCCAATGCCCAGGGGCCATCCATAAAGTTCGTCCGGGGTCAGGGGGGGGGGGGATGCTAATAATTTTAACTAGACAAAACTAGTGAAAATATCGAGGGGGCCGCCATTCCTGAAATCATGTGTACGCCCTCCCTGAAATCCTCCCGAAATCATTTGAAATCCACCTGCAATCATGAAATCATGCGTAATCTGCCAGCAAATTTTAGTCTGAAATCCTTAGGTCATGTAAAAACCGCCGGAATCACGTAAAATCCGCCGGAATCTTGTGAAATCCGCCGAAATCCGGTAAATTCCGCTGAAATCATCTGTAATCCTTCAAATCAGACATAATCTGCCGGCAGGTTTTAGCGTAAAATCTTCTAAAATTATATGCGAAATCCGTGAAATCATGTGAAATCACGCAATCTTTGCAATCATGTGTACATCCAAAGAGAGAGTGGTGGCCCCCTCGGAAAATATATAAAAGGTGTGCTGTTCGATTAATTCACAGTACTGGAACTGTTCCCGGAAATTATAATTCGCCTCTCAAAAACAAATTTCTTATCACCACATAAAGTAACGGATATTGTTAATTTGTGGAAGCGCAGGTAATAGGTATGTGCGTTCGTAAAGGGGGGGGGGGGCGAAAAACACGTACTTTATGGATGTTCCCCTATGGATTCGCCTACCATTAGTTTCTTCTTGCTTTCCAACGTCTAACGTCGCTCTTCTCGGTCCCGCCGGTGCGGCTCTACGCTCTACCCTCCGATCCCAGTGCGGTGCCTGCGGTGCGGTCCCTGCGGTGCGGTCCCTGTCCGGGTCCAGTGAAACCGGATCCGCACCGCACCGCAACCGACCGCAACCCGGGACCGCACCTCAAACGTCCAGTCCCGAGGTGCGGGTCGAAAATGGGACCGCATTACAGTTCTGTTTGGGCGTGGGGCTCTACCGAGGGCTCTACTTCCAGGGCCATATGGCAGAGCGCTGTCAAAGTCAAGCAAATATTTCATTCACACCATTTTCTAAATATGAAGGGATACGGAAAACACCTCTGTACAGTATAGTCTTAAACTGTTATCATCTGCTTTCACGATTGACCCTTGATTATGCTTTTACTGAAACTAGCCCCTTCAACCGCAAATTTTACTTAATACTTAACAAAGCAGGCGTGCCCTTTCAACGAACGAGATTGCCAGCCTCACTTCATTAGGCCGGCAACTTCGGCCAACAATACCGCAAAATAGCGTGACGCATGTTGTGCACGCGCAGTCCCCCACTGAATAACGAAAGATGAGGTGTTTTGGGGAGCGTGCTGCACATAAAGAAAAGGGTATTCGGTTAAGGCGGTGTTCTTACTTTCCAGCAGCGCCCTGGCGATGTCCTCCATGTCGGGACCCTGCTGTGTCGGCGTCTGTCTGCTGCGCTCGCTGTCTGGTTACTGCGCAATCTTATCGGTCGCCTGCATGGGCAGTAGCTGGCATCCTTGCTGGGGAATACCCGTACGGGGTAGGGGTATTCTACACAGTAAAAACACGGGGCACTTAAAGAGACAGCTCCCTGGACCAGGCCGCAAAGCTTACCGTTAACGGGGGCAATATGAGTGATTCTGCCAAAATTGCACGGGTCCGTGTCCGCGAAAATGTTTCTCGTTTATCTCAAATATACATTGTTCGGCAAGCTTCGCCGAGGTGATTTTACATCGTCAGATGATTACTTAAGCCTTATTTTGACTATTTTAATCAACAAAAGTTACGGAGCATAATAAAGGAGCAATAATTAGCTAATCCCACTTTGTCCCCGTTCGTCACACCCTAACCTTATTTCAGCGTTTCCTTGGATACCAAATGATACCACGCCCGCGTAAAAATCTAAGGCTTGTTTTGGACCCATTCTCGTCGTTTTCCACTAGTCTGATAACGACCAGCATAGTACGAATATACGACGAAGTATCGAGGTATTCCGTCGTATTTCCGTTCCTTTGCCGCCGCACCAGGGTCGTTTAACTGGTAAAATTCCCGACGAGAATGCGACGAGAAAACGACGACCCATGCGGCGCCGGCGCCGCCGGGCACCGCCGTATACTCGTCGTTTATTCGTCGTATTTTGGTAGCG